TCAGTTTTTCTTTTTTTTTTTTTTTAATTAGATTTTTTAATCTAAAAATTATTTCAAGTGTTTTTACTAGTAGTAATGTTTTATTTTCATGTGACTTTTAACATTTATGTTTGCACGGGGCAATCTCAAAATTTGCTGCGTAAAGGTCAGAATCAGATTCTGTGAATAGCAAGTTACCGTCTAATTTGGCCTATAAATAAGGTCAGAATATATTTAATAATGAATTTCAAATGTGTAATTGAGATTAAGTTCTAACCGTGATGAGATTCTGTAAAAGACCGATAAATTTTTGAGTTGACTCGTAAGTTCTGTTTATGGTGATACAAACATATCAGCTCACAGGTTATTGTTCAAGTCCTCATAAGTGTTTAAAAACATCAAGTGATTGATTATTGGGACTTGGGTGCAAATGGACATGATATTCTAGAGTTGGAATAAGTTATATTAATTTTTTTTTTTGGCAAAATTTTGTTGCTCTAAAAATAGAAATGAGAAAATATGATAAAAAGGTATTTTTGAGATTGTGGATGACATAATATAAAAATGAACAAATATTATAGAGCACACTAAAATAATAATGCAACAAATATTCTAATATTATAAATTCCGTTGAAATTTATATTTCAACCAAGAACAATACTAATATACAAGAACAATACTAATATATTTTATTAGAAATAAATGACTGAAATTCTAGTTGGAATTTGATAATACCATTTTTTCAATAAATTTATTGTTGTATGAGTTTTCGTTGAAATAACTGCCATTTTTTTCTTTGTTACTATTTAAATTGCGGAAATGAATTGTAGTAGTATGATTGGTAGTTATAAACTAATATTTGATCATGTGCACATGCATAGATGTGAATAAAATATTATAAGTTGTATGTTTTATATAACATTAAAATTATAAATTAAACAATAGTATCAAATTTTATAACTTTGATCATTATTTGATTGCATAAAATGCAATGATAATGTAAATTTTTAAGGGATTGAAAAATATTATTAAAAATTTTTAATTGCAATTATTTATGTAATCTTAAGAATTTGACTATGCCTTTAAAACAATTAGTCTTTTTTTTAATCTCTTAATATAATGCAAAAAAATATACATATTTGATTTTAGAATAAATAGCTTAAATAAAAAGTTTTGCAAAATATTTTTTTTTAATTTATATAAGTTTCATATACCATTTAGTGTGAAATATAACTTATATAACTTCTTGTTTTTAATAATAACTATTATATGATATAATAGTTAAAAATATAATTTCTGATCATAATTAATAAAAAAAATAGTGGAAAAAAAATAAAAAAATGCCATTAATTATTTACCTATAATTATATATATAGATAAATAATTGTAGATAATTATAACTTTGTTTCAAAATATAAATTATTTTCCTTTAATATCAATCATTTATATTGATCTATCAAGTATCAAGTAGGTCATAAGAATTTCAAAAGCTAGCCAACAGTTTCTACTTATTTCAAATTGTAATTAATTTAAAGTGCTTTTTGTATCCCCTCTGAAAGACCTCTTTACAAATAACCACCAAACTTATAATCACTTTCTCCTCCAATTGCAGATCATTTTGCTATTAACTAATACAAAGTTAACTTTCTCAAGTCCAACCTAAAAAGTTCTTTTGTAGTAGAAATTAAACTGAAATACACACATATTATTTAATAATTTGGCCTACATATCACTATTTGGTCAACACAAACAGTAATAGTTTAATTCAATTTGGACAAAAAACCTTCAACTCAGACAACAGAGAAATTGCAGTTTTCATTTTAATGACTTTAAGTTTATGTATTGATTTTCTTGATTTAACTGTCTTTTTTTAATTCTGCCCAATTTTCACTGACTTTGGTGGTGAAATATATATATTTAGGTGCATTCACCCATTGTTAATGTATGAATGAATTCAACCCTCAAGTGTCATTTCACATTAAAGTTCACTGGAAATTAAGTATTAACTGTTTATATCCATCTCCATACATGTAATAATAAAGTTCATTATTTTTAATCAAGTATAAATTAAAAGATATACTTTTGGGTTGAGTACATTTCTAAAAATTTGATAAAATTTTAAAAGTTAATGGCAGCTATTGAGGTGTATTAAAAATAGTTCAATTGGAATTCAATAGTTATGTGGTTTTTAAAATTAATGTATTTGAGGATAACAAGTACACATAACAGGTCAATTTTCCTCAAGTTTAATTATGTACCCACATGTAACAAATTATATTTATCCTCTCTTGTTATATTTTATTATTATGTGTCGTATTTTCTATTTTTTAATTATGTTTCGTTTATCTCTATGTCAGGTCACAAAAATTATAATTAGGCTCTTAAAGAAATGGTTATTTAATTAAGCCTTTGACACTTTGATTCACCACTCCTAACACTATAACTGTTAATGATTATCACAAATTTATATTTACTTAATCTAACAAGAAAATTAATAAGGTTAGGGATGTATTTAATTAAGATTTCTAAAATTTTTTTAAGACTTTAGAAATCATACATATATCCACTTGCATGTCCCAATCCCTTAATTCTCACTTTTTTTTAGCATCACACAATATATTTATATATTAATAATTAAATAACATGCAACTTTATTGATATACACTCAATCGATTGTTTAGCCAATTACAGCAATTTCCTCCGTAAATCCCGTCAAACAAAAATAAATATTTCAACACGAAATACGTAGTCAATACGTACAAGAATTCTTTTACACAACACACACTACAAACAGAGTTTGTTAGTTATCAACTAATCATGCACGTACAAAAACAGTTATGTTGACCAAATTGCCCCTCATCCCCATTTCACATTTTCACCCCTATAAATATGTACCCTCACAAATCACAATCAAGCAAAATCCATAACCAACACAAGCGAATTATCAAAAACTGAAAATGGCAACCCTAGAGATAATCCAAATTCTCATTCTCACCATCATTTATTGCTCATTGGTACCCTCACTTGGGGCTAATTACAATCCTACCCTCGACGTGTGGTCATTCGGGGCAGTGCCCGATGGGAAATCCGACTGCACGGAGGCTTTCACGAGCGCATGGGGCTCGGCATGTGCCTCCGTGGGGCCCACGACTATTTACGTGCCTCCGGGAAAATACTTATTGCAAAACACGTACTTTTCAGGGACTTCGTGTGAAAATACTGATATAACGATACGTATTGATGGGACTTTGGTGGCTCCCTCGGATTACGAGGCACTCGAGAAAAACGGGAGCTGGCTGCAGTTCGAGAGGGTCGCCGGAGTTTCTATACTCGGCGGAACCTTAGACGGCCAAGGGACGAGATTGTGGGAGTGCAAGAATTCCGGCGAGAATTGTCCTAAAGGAGTTACGGTGGGTTTTTTTTTTTCATTTTCTTTCTTAACTTGGATTTGTTTAATTTCGTCTACTTTATTCAATTGGGGTAGAAAATTGGTTTATCATGCATGTAGTGTCAAAAGGGTTTAATTAAAAAAATAGTCTTGGGTTTACTAGTCTTTTATTAATTTCAGGAGAGAAAACATTTGAAAGCACTAAAAATGATGCGTTGATATTTACTCGGTGAGCAAATCCAAGCCGAATCGTGCAGTTTGGTGCGGTTCGGCTCCTTTTTTAATTTAAATATCCTTAATTTAATTTTTTTCTACACTCCCGTGCGGTGTGATTACTATTTTTTATAAGCCTAATTTTCAATTTTTTTTTTGGGTACAATTTTGCATAAAATTAACCATTGCCAAATTAGAAAAAAATCTATTGATAATTTGAGACAAAACTGAAAAACGAGTCGAACCATGCATTTCAGTGCGGTTTGGTTATTTTATTGTAAAAAAATTTCGGTTCAATTCTTTTCCCTAAGTTGCCATGCGGTTGCGGTTTGATTATTATTATCTTTTTTTTTGTTGTGCTCGATTTTTTGCGGTTTTCTACGATTCGGTTATTTCAGCCTTTTTTATTTTATCGTACTTACCTAACTAATGTGTCCTAAATTGTCCCACAACTAAATACTCATGCACCCTTAGTATATAATACCAACCAACATTGCTATACATAATATATGCTCACAATTCAACACAAATTGAAATTATTTTGGTACATATTTCAAAAATTCCATCAATGATTTGAAAAATCTCTCCTTAATTTTGCAGTCACTAGCTTTCTACAACTCGAACAACATAAAGATCAATGGCTTAACTTCTCTAGACAGCCAAATGTTTCACATTATTATCGACGGTTGCGAAAATGTCGATCTCACGAACGTGAGGGTGTGGGCCCCCGAAAACAGCCCAAACACAGACGGGATTCACGTGCAACAGTCGACTCGAGTTACTATTATGAACTCGCTAGTCGGAACTGGCGACGATTGTGTCTCAATTGGCCCGGGATCCTCCGATTTGTGGATCGAGAATTTGTGGTGTGGGCCGGGCCACGGGATAAGGTATTGTACTCACACAAAATTTGCATTTTGTGTAAGTTTTCAAAAATAATTATGGATAAAATTTCAAAAATCTAAGGTTGACTGAATTTTCTTGAAAAAAATCAGTCAAAGTATGATATTCAAAATAAAATCATACATAATACATAAACTATTCATACATCAACAAACAATAAAACTAGAAAACAATGATAAAAATAATTCACAAAACAACCATTTATTTTTTGTATATTTGTAATTAAAAATGAAAACTTTGTAAATGTTCAAATGAATATTGATTTGTAGGTAAAAGAATTAATTTTTCATAATAAATTACACCACTTTTAATTTCTTTTTTTCACAGCATTGGAAGTCTGGGCTGGGAGGCCCAAGAAGCTGGAGTCCAAAACGTGACGGTGAAATCAGTTAAATTCTCGGGCACCCAAAATGGAGTTAGGATTAAGACGTGGGCCAGGCCCAGCAATGGATTTGTTAGGAATGTCCTTTTCCAGCACCTTGTTATGAATGATGTCCAAAACCCGATTATCATTGACCAAAATTACTGCCCCGGCCACGAGAATTGCCCGACCCAGGTACCCAATAAATAAAAATAATAATAAACAATAAAGAAACCCTGAAATTTTGAAAATTCCCTCAAAATAATTTGACACATTTTTTTCTTGNATTGTATATTGACTTGCAAAATGGATTGTTTTTTTATAATGATTTTGATGAATTGGTATATTAAGTTTAATATTAATAAATTAAAGTATTATTTTTGGGAAGAAAGTGGAAAAAAAAAATTAAAGTAAACTATTTTTTCTTGTCTTTTGCTAATAGGAAGCAACAAGAGAATGTAGTATTTTTGAAAATTGGTCAAAAATGATGAAACAAAAATGAAACTAAACCTTTTCTCTTTTCTTGACTTTTACTAATTGGAAGTAGTAAAAAAATGTTTTATCTTTTCCTTAATTTTTGTCACTACAGACATCGGGTGTAAAAATCAGCGACGTGACCTATCAAGACATACACGGGACATCAACCACGAAAGTTGCGGTAAAATTTGAGTGCAGTAAAACGAGACCGTGCAGTGAAATTACCTTAGATGAAGTCAACTTAACTTACGGTGACAAGTCAGCAGTCTCGTCGTGTGCAAATGCCGGCGGGACCACCGGTGGAATAGTCAACCCGGAGAGTTGCTTCTAAGTGGCTCACAAAAAATTGATCACACAAAATATAAATATATTTAATTATTATTATTATGAGAGAAAAAAATATTTGTATTATTATTATATTAAGTGGGGCATGGAATTGGAATCAAAGCCCCCCGGCTGATAGGTTAATTTATATTTTATAGGGTTGAGCCGAAGCCCGGCTCGGCCCGGCCCAAAGCATATAGGAATCAATGTCTATAAATGCTCACGTATTGTTAGTGATGTCACATTTTAGTAGCAAATTATGGCGACTTTGCTCTACAATGGAATCTATTATTAGGTCACATATTCTTATGTGTATAGTTGAAGTCAGAATTACATTTATGAAATGTTATGTTCATGTTTATATTTTTTTTCAGAGGATAATATTTTAATTTGAGAATATATAAATTTATCAATTAACATGCTAAATGTTGGTGAAAGTGAATTGACTTAAATGATATTTGTCAATTGCTTTAAAGTTGACAATGCAAATAGTTTAAAATCAATGTTAATAGATCGTGGATATAAAATGATAATATAGATGGTTGATATTTGCCAATTGCATTATTTATAAGTACTGATTAATGAAAAAAATTATAGTTTATAACCTAATTATAGACCATTCTTACAATATTTAAACTATTTTTTTTTACTCTCTGTTTAAAATGTTAATAGATTGTGGAAAAAGCAAAATATCAACCATGTATATTATTATTAAAATCAATGCTCGGATTCCAAAATTGATATTCTCCTCAAAACAAAACAAAACAAAACAAAACAAAACAAAAAGGAAAGAAAGAAAAAAAATCCAAAAATTGCATTACAAAATCCACTAGTGGATATCACTCGATTAACTATAACTAGGATCACATATCCTTTTCCAAAATTAAGCTCCAAAATGGAATCCTCAACCATTTAATAAATTCTCGATTTTATTTTGTTCCCTATAAAAAAATATATTTAAAAAATTTTCATTTTAATTTCGCTATAAATACCCCTCTCAACTCCCCCCAACTATCTCACCCCACCCACCC